AAGCACTAAAAAAGGAAAGAAAGTAAAATTAAATTAAAAAAAAAAAAAAAAAAAGAAGGTGACAGCAGTATTATATGAAAATGCTATGAAATGAAGAAAACAGTAAGGCAACTGAGAAATCACTCAACTCCACCACCCACCACTACACACACACACACACACACACACACACACACACACACACACACGAACAAAATGCTTTGGAAGTATTAGCTCTTTGGGAGGGTGAGGGGGATGTGGATGGGGGCAGCTAGTTAGATTTGGAGCTCTACTTTGAAGCTTCTGTTTTAGCTCTCATGTCTGGGTGGACACACAAGCAATGATACCTTGTTTCCTCATCAGATAGAACATGTTCATGAGCTGAGGCTCACAGTGCATTCCTAATGCTTCTTGCTACTCTTGGACTTTGCTTTCTTTGGGAGGCCTTTATAAAAGACCTACTGCAGATCCAGTGGCAATGGAGAAGAGAGTGTGGTGTTTTAACCTCTTCCTCATGTTAATGGTATTGCAGTGTCCCATCATGAGCATTTCTTGTCTGATGCCTTCTTTGGCCATTTCCCCTTTGTTTTTCAAGCAAAGGCTGTCTACCTGAAACCTTCAGTGGCTCTTCAGTGTAAGGACCAAAGAAGGTGCTGCCAGTGCTGCTGTAGGAGAGTGAACCACCATGGGCCATCTGCTTGTGAGTGGTTGTGTACGGGCATCCACCAATATTGTAAAAGCTGCATTCACTCATCTTTTACAATAACTGCATTAGCCTGTCCTCTCCACCCAAATGACAGGACAGTGGAAAGTAGAATACTTGGAAGAAGAGGCCTTGGGATAGATAGTCTTCCTCAGGTCAGGGGTTGACTACTATACCAGCATCCAGAGAAGTATCCTCACCTAAGAAGCTCCTCACCTAAGTCTACTTGGACAAGGAGCTCCTGGAAAGAGACAGGGAAGTGGCTATTGGGTTGGTAAGCTGCTGCTGCTTTGCTTACTTCATTGTAGCCAATATTGAACTACATATATTTTCCCAACCATTCTATCTTGTTTAAGGCTCTGTGCCTTTTGGCTATGCTCCTGTATCCACCTAGAATATTCTTTCTTTCCTCCTTTATTAGCTGGTGCCTCCCCATTCTGTTAGACCAAACCCAGGTCTCATTTTTCCCAAGGAATCACCTCTATGCCCAGCCCAAGGTAAGGCCGGTTTAGGTGTCATTCCCCTAAGTGGTGTTTTTCTTAGGCACCCACCCTACTGCGTATGTGTTTCCCATGTTGTCCATTCCACTGTGCCTTGGCACCGGGCCTGATAAGTAGGAGATACTCAAATGTGTGTTAGGCTAAACTGAAAGCAGGAAGCAGGAGAGGCAACAGTGGCTAGTTTGTGATAGTCTCATGTAGAGAGGTTTAAAATGAAAGTGTAGTCTATAACCCAATGGTGTGTGTGTGTGTGTGTGTGTGTGTGTGTGTGTGTTTATAAGAAAACAGTCATTTTCTTCAACAAAATGAAGTTTGCATGTGTCATTTCTTCTTCCCTCTTTGCTTCATAATTTCTGTTCTTTGATGAGGATATATAATTTAGGTTTGAAGGCCGGGTGTGGTGGCTCACGCCTGTAATCCTAGCACTTTGGGAGGCCGAGGCGGGCGGATTGCTCAAGGTCAGGAGTTCGAAACCAGCCTGAGCGAGACCCCGTCTCTACCAAAAATAGAAATAAATTAATTGACCAACTAAAAATATATATATACAAAAAATTAGCCAGGCATGGTGGCGCATGCCTGTAGTCCCAGCTACTCGGGAGGCTGAGGCAGTAGGATCGCTGAGCCCCGGAGACTGAGGTTGCTGTGAGCCAGGCTAATGCCACGGCACTCACTCTAGCCTGGGCAACAAAGTGAGACTCTGTCTCAAAAAAAAAAAAAAAAAAAAATTTAGGTTTGAGTTCTCCACCCAAATAAATATTGCTACCCAGCAAGGCTGACCAAGGCCCCAGAGCTTTGTGTTCTCCTAGACCATTGATTGTGGTTGGGAGTATGGAGTCTCATGGAGTTAGGTAGACCAGTGTTTGAGGAATAATATCTTCCATGAGAGAGCTACTGAATCCCTGTTTTATGGATATGAGAACTATGGCTCAGAGAAGTTGGATCGATGAACAGAGACTACAGTATTTGGAGCCAGGACTGTTTGACTGCAAAGCTCATGCTCATAGGCAGGTCTTTTAAATTTTTAGGGGTTAAATGTCTCATATTTAGAAGGAAGGGAGCAAAACTCAGTAGAGTTATTATAAGAGAGAAAAGGGATGATACAAGAAATGAAAATCATACTTTGTACCTCGAATAGTAGAAGTCATAGTAAAAGAGGCAACTGTTTTATATATAGTGTTTACTATATGCCAGGCATTCTTTTAGTTCTTTATTTAGTCTGCCTCATATAGTTATCACCACAACTCTTTGAAGTTACTATGGTTGTTCTCTTTTTATAACTGATGAACAGAACAGCTAGAGTTCACACCCCATCAGCTGGTTCCAGTGTCCACACTGACCCCCCTACACCCTGTTATCTCTTAGGAAACATTAGTTTTTAACTCTATGCTGTTCTAGAATGTGGCATCAATATGAAAGGGATCATAAGGAACCTGGAATGGTAATATGGTGAGGAAGACGTTATACTGAGCTACAGAAGGTGAGCAGTAACAGAATGTCTCAGATACTCTCAATTCTCTGATTCAGCTACCGACTGGTGAGATAGCCCATTTGTTATTTGTTAGTGGTGGCTTAGTGCATAGGATAATGATCTATGGTACATCTTTCTTTCAGCTTAGGGACATCAGCTTAATAGTTTACTCATCAAGA